ACCTTCATTTGTAGATCTTTTACTTGGAGACATCGTACCAAACAATTCATCATCATCACTTGATTGATTCCAAAGCCCACTTCCAACTTTTTCCGAAAACTTTCTTTCCAATTTAATATTTTTCTGCAAATTCGATATCCTTTTCGACGAAAATTAACTAAGAAATCGATCAGTTGATTTTCGATTAAAAAAATCGACTTTTCATTGTTCAAATTTTTTTTTGTCTCATAACTTTAAAAATCTAAATAGCAAATCATTTTCAATCAGTCGATGATGAAGGATTTCTTTTTGAAAAGATTACGAATTTTCATGCAATTGATACTCTAGACAATGAATCACCCAAAAAAAACTCGACAATTTCCCATTTTAACTGACTGTGGTTGTTCGTTGATGTCAAAATGATGTCAAAATGATGTCATCATAGATCACATCATAGATCTCATCATAGATCTCATCATAGATCTGATAACTACTCCTCTAGAACCCTCTTCCTCCGCTTTTTTTTCACATCAATCTGTCATTGACATTTTCTCTCATTTATGCAAATCTCTGTCTCTTTATGTGATATTTCTTTTTTTTAGATAATAGATCCAAAAATGAGATATAGAAGAAGACAGAAAATTGATGAATGATCAGTTTTTTATGCACACTTTTTGCCTTGAGGCCTTTTCTGACCTTTCCTTGCCCCATCCCACATTTTTGGACTCAATTACCGCCCATTTCAAAACGCAATCCTTTATCGATCAATGCTTTGGCTACGGTCTACGTTTTTTTTTTGCTGAAATTTCCAAACAATTAGCACCGATTAGTGATAATTGAGTATAGCTTTGCTATTCTTAAACGAAAAACCAAACTAGAGCTTACTAGAATATCGATTTTTTTGTTATTTTTTTGATTTTCTTTTGTATTTCGTAATATTCTGAACAAAACTGATAGAAGATCGATGAATTTTATAGCAAAATCCTCTAAAGTTTGACTCGAGTTTTGCGAGTTTCGGCCCGGATTCGAACCCGCGACCTCTCGCTTACCGGGCGAACGCTTTTCGCTCTAAGCTTCGCAATAAGCTCTAAGTATTCAAATGACACTAAAGCAGGGTTTACTGTACTCTAGAGTTATCTACAGTATCTGAATTCTATAAGCTGCTCTTTCAGCTTTCAAAAAACGGCTCTTTTCTTGTTACCATCTGGTTACTTTTGGCAGCTTCAAAGGATCATACTTCAAAAGATCTGATGGATTAAAAGATAGATTAAAAGATAGATCAAAAGATAGATCAAAATATAGATGAAAAGACAACTTCTTTTAGAGATCACATAATACAATCATTTTGATAACATTATACTGAAAATAGAAAAAGTGATTTACCCGAAAAGATCTGTACAATCATCTCCTTATTCCCCAAACACATCTCCACTTTCATTCATCCAATCTTTGCACTTTTCATCAATTATTGACTATGAAAGGGTTTTTTTTTAATCTATTTATCCCATTTTTCAACAAAATTCGCCCTTTTAGATATCGTTTTTGGAGAATTTGTGCTAAAAATAACCAATAGGGGAGAAAATTTTCCTCCAAAAATACATTTGAAGGAAAACTTTTTTTAAAAAAATCTGTTCTTCACAATTTTAAATTTTTAATTCAAAAAGTTTAAAATCCTTACAATTTATTTTATTAGTGACTAAAGTTTGGAATGCCCTTCCCGACAAGTTGCGTTTGATCTCCACCGTGTCTGATTTTAAAAGGGCTATTTCGTTGCATTTTAAGTGACTTTGTGGGGAGTGGGACAAATGCTACCTTTTTTTTTTGCGCACCCGGACATTTGCGCACCTTTTTTTTTCCACACCTTGCCCATTAGCGCACCCTTTTTTCGCGTTTTAAAAAAGCTCTAAAAAGCTAATAATAACCAATTTCTATTCCAAAAGCTGTTTTTCTAGGTAATTTGAGGGTGTCGAATTCAAATTTTGACATAATAGAGCGTGTGGAACCAATTTGAAAGACAAAACGGCTAGGTCAAATTACAGTCGTCGATTGTCGATCTTTCTCTTTGTATAACTCCGTCCGTTTGCTTCCACAAGCTCTGATATGTCAAAATTTGAATTCTACGCCCTAAAATTACCTAGAAAAACAACATTTGGAATAGAAATTGGTTAATATTAGCTTTTTAGAGCTTTTTTAAAACGCGAAAAAAGGTGCGCTAATGAGCAAGGTGCGGAAAAAAAAAGGTGCGCAAATGTCCCACTCCCCGCTTTTTGGCTTGCGATTGTGGCAGGCGGTTAATATTTGAATTAAAGTATTCAAGATATTCAATCAGTGAACTGAATTAGGAAATATTTATAGTATTTCCAAATTCCTTGCCTTGCCTTGCCTAAGGCCTTTTCCGCAAATGTCCGGGTGCGCAAAAAAAAGGTCGCATTTGTCCCACTCCCACTTTGTCATCTTTTATCTAGTACATTTTTCATGCCGTTTTCGCACTTTATTTCTTTCTGAATAAAGTATTTATATTATTAAACTTTTTTGATCTTTATAACTGATTTATTTATTTATCCGTAGAAAAAGCTTAACATTGTAGACTTTTTAGAGCTTAAAACCCATTTCATAATTCATTTAAAGCTTATAAAACAGTAAACCAAACTTTTTTGTGACTTAAAATCCCGATCGAAATAGTTGAGCGTTAAATTTTTGCTTCCCCTGCTTCCCCTCCTGCTTCCCCTGCTTCTATAGCCTTTTTTCTTTCTTTTAAATATTTGTGAAATATCTGTGAAATATTTGAAAAGTTCAGAATTCTCTTTCGTCAAGTCTAGGTGATCGGAGACGGGATTTGCATTCAAATTTCCCCCACCTACCGTAACCATTTTTTTTCAACGCTAAAATCGGAAAAGCCGATTTGCAAGCGAAATTCTTTCAATCACTCGGGTCCACCCCGCCCTAAATGTCAACCGAAAAATATATATGAAAGTCTTCAAAAGTTACCGCAAAACACTTTCTGATCTAGTTGACGAAAAGAGAATTTGATTCCAAGTTTTTTCCAATTGTTCGAATCGAATTTCTTTTAAAATCTCTTCCATCGTTCTTTCACTACAGTTAGCTTTTTAAATCTCTTTTTTTTGTAAATTTAAAATCCTTAAAACTTATTCAACTTTTTGATCGATGCCTTTTGATTTCTAAAAGTTGAATTCAAAATTCAAATCAAAATTCAATTCTTATCAAATAAACTTGATGTGAAAGATTTGGAGGCGGCAAGACCCGCCTCTGCATTGGTGAGTTGAATAAGATACCGTAAATACTCTAATTTAACGCCACTCCCATAATGATCAATGCCTTTTGATCAATGCCTTTTGATCAATACCTTTTGATTTCTAAAAGTTGAATTCAAACAAAATTCAATTCTTATCAAATAAACTTGAAATTTTAGACAATTGACTAAATAGTTTGGCATCGTGAACAGTATTTTGTCTCTATCTTAATCGTTTCTCAGCTTCAATTACTCTGGCATACTGTAGTGGAATAGAACTAGAAATTACATTATCTTTGCAGAAGAAGTTTGCAGAAGAGCTTTTGCTCAGTTCGTTCTGAACTTTCATTCATTTAGCCTTGAAGATCCATCAGTTTGATAGATCTTCAAGCATTCTTTTCTCTCTTTTGCAAACCTTGTGATTTTGACAACTCAACATTTTGCAAGATTGAATTGAGATCGATCTTCGTATAGTTCTTTTCGGAGAAAAGTTGACAGAGGAACGCTTGAGGGGAAAGGGAACACCTAAAAATGTTGAGCATGTGACTTGGACACACTCGTTGAGATCAAGTATCGGTTTTTTTGAGAAATGAAAAAGGGGAACGTGTCTAGAGGAGAATGGGGGATTGATAGAAAGGAAAAGCACAAAAAGGGAAAGCACAGAAAATAACTGAATGGTATTCTAAATTTTAGAAAGATCGGAAAGCAAAAGAAAAATCCCTTTGTGTTCTTTGTGCGGCCGGGTAATCGCTCGCCATCTGGCACACGTCCCCGATACATAGCTTCTATTTGAAGCAATCGCCAGCTCAGCCGTCCCCCGTCCCCCTTCCCCCGTTACTATGCCAAATTTTTTGATTGTTAATTGGTTTAGGTTGCCTTGATTTTGCTGTATTTTTTCCTTCCTCCCATTTTTTTTTTTTTTTTTTTTTTTTTTTTTTTTTTTTTTTCTTTTTTTTTTTTTTTTTTTTTTCTTCTATTTTTCTTCCAATTTTTTTTTAATCTTCCAATTTTTATCTAAATTATCCTTTCTAGCTAATAACCATTTTTTTTTTTTTCTTTACCCCCACCAAAAAATACACCCTCAAATTTCTTTTTTTTTTTTTTCTTTTTTTTTTTTAAAAATAACCTTTTTTACTACAATTCCACAATTAATTTAATTAAATTTAGTTTTAGCGGTTTTTTGGTCATTTTGTATGGGAAATTTTGTGGTATCCTGCAGTTTTGGGGCTCGTAAATCGACAACGAGGGTCTAAAACCAAAAACGAAGGGAAAAGTTTGATTCTAGAGACTCTTACGAACATTTTGATGCAAAAATCATCAAATTTTCTCAACTCTACAATTCTCCGCATCTAAAAAAAGGTACTCCCAGAAAAATCCGATAGAAAACACATTTTTGCCTTATTTCGCGCCGATGTGCATCCTGTTAAACGATTTTGTTACTTTGTTACATCAGCTAAACTTAGAAAAGAATTCTTTAAGTTTCTAGAAAAGTCCTGTTTCTTGTTTTTCTCAGTATTGACCATTCCAATAACCTCTATTTGATTCATTCGAAAGCCTGAATTGTTCTCTTTTACTTTTCCTTTTACATGTTTTCCACTTTTTATCAACTCATTTTCTAATTCAATTCTTTTCTAATTTCTTTTTCCAGGTTGAGGCACCGGTCACCCCCGAGCCATCAACGAACTTCTGATAAAGCTGACGAAAAAAGGTTAGTGATTTTAATAATTATGAAATTATATCTATTTAAATTCCAGGAGCCCTTGGCACCCCGATGAAAATAGATCCTCAAGATGTAGTGAAGAAAGATGTGAAAGATTTGGAGGCGGCAAGACCCGCCTCTGCATTGGTGAGTTGAATAAGATACCGTAAATACTCTAATTTAACGCCACTCCCATAATGACGGGCGTCCAGTCGCGCAACTTTGAACGTCCTATTCTCCGCGCTGTTTTATGCTACCGTGTGCGCCTGGGTTTCAAATGATAGCC